CTTCTGCTCTCCACCCCGGCGCTCCGGGGCCTCCTAAGTGACCGCTTTCGGGGGGACCAGCTCCCCGTCCGACCCTGAGGCTCGCCCCTTGCGCCGTGAAGCTCTGCGGCTACCGCAGTCACATCACGTCCGCGTCCACTGCTGTTTCCAGGCGGAAGTTTCGCCCCCTTCAGAGCGTTCTCTTGACTGGGGCCTCCCTGGTAGCGCAGCGGGTGAAAGCGCAGCGCTATGAAGTGATCTGCAGCGCGAGTTCGATCCCCGGCCACGGCCCAGGGCGGGAGACCTCTCCTGACCCGCCCCCGGCTCCCCTCAGCAGTGCTTCAATCCGCCCGTTCTGCTCCCGGCTCTGTCTCAGTGAAGCTTCTCAGCGCCCCCCATCTCTCGACTGTACCCCAGTTGTTGTATGCGTAAATAAATAAATCTAAAAAAATCCTCTTGACAATCTTGATTCTTCTAACCCATAACATATCCACCTATCTATTTAGATCTTTTTAAATGTATTTCATTCATGTTCTTTTTGAATATACCGCTTTTGTACATATTTTTAAGATTTATACCTAAAAATTGCATATGTAACCTTTTTGGTAGAACTGTAGATTATTTTTTGTATTCTATTTTTAATATCAAATCCCTATTGTTCTATAGTAAAGCAGCTGACTGGCGCTGGCATGGCGCCCTGCGACCTCGTCACACGTGCTTATGAGGCCGTTACTCTCATTACTCTCTCTGGGATGTCCTCTGCCACTGAAGAGAACGACAATTTTACTTCAGCCTTGCAGACCGGTATCCATTTCCTGGGGAGTGTGGGAGGCGGTATCCGGCCCTCGTGACCCTAGGAAAGCACCCAAGAGCCCCCTGACGCATGACGTCAGCTGCTAAGTTTTTACACCTGTTCTTTATCGATTTGTAAAAACCCACCCCCTTCCGTTACTTAAGAGTTTTCCATCATAAAACGTGTTGGATTTTGTCAAATGCATTTTTCTTGCCATTGGTTACGACCCTCTGACTTCTGTTATCTTTTCAGTCCACAGGATGGACCATCTGAAAGAATTCCTTCCTGCAGCAAACAGAGTTGAGAACCCGCCATGTACAGGACCCAGAGCTGCTGCCAGGCTGAACGTGTAGTAAGAGGGAGAGAGGAGCGACGCACGTGATGACATATTTAAAGGCTCGAACTGTGAATGTTTATGCAGACAAGCAACTGTGATAGACACTCTACCAAAGAGCTAACGCAAATCCGTGCAAGTTGTGTGCCTCCAGTCTTGTAAGGGCAAGCTGCACGCAGACCCACCCGCCAGGAGAGGTGCAGCCCAGGCGGCGTGAGGCCTCCCAAGCCCCATGCCCTTCTCCGTGAACTCTGTTCTCTCGACTCCCGCAACGCCCTGGACTCTCCCCCACCTCAGGACCTCTGCAACAGCTGCGTCTTCTATCTGGAATGCACCTGGCTTCCCCTCTTCTCATTCACAATACCAACTCCACTCTGAGTCACTTGTTTTTAGCTACAGTGTCCGGTTGCTTGACTTCATAAAGATCTTAAAACCAACACACAAGCCCGGATAAAGTGCATGACAAGAAACCGCCCAAAAGACACCTCTGAGACCAGGCCCTGGGTCTTTCATAGTAAAATCAGCAAGGGCAAGCATGCATGCCCAAGGGAGGGTCCTCCTCACGGGCCCGGACCTTGGCCGTGGGGACCAGGCGGGACGCGAGGGCGCTGGGCCCCGGCAGTTTCCTCCACCACGTTTCTACAGCAGCAAGACAAAAACCCACGCGAGCAAACAGGTAATGCGGAGACCACCGACCAGCCAAGCCCAAGGACCTATTAGGTAAACGAAGCATTCTTCTTCCTTACTTTTAACCGTGAGGTACATGGACTTGCTGACGTCTGCGCCCACATCGTTGCTGACCTTGCACAGGTAGTAACCGCTATCTTCCTCCACAACATGCTTGATCAAGAGAGACCCGTTGCCGAGGACCTGAATTCGGCCGTTCAGGGCAATTGGTTGGAACTGAGGGACCCCAGCACCTAGGAAAGAGGAAAGCAGAACAGTGATGCCAACATGAACCACACGGGAGACCTTGAGCCGAAGCTCAGAGTGAGGAGGAGACATGGGGGCACTCTGAGGGCAGCAGTCGCCGCTCTGCGGGTCCCCATCAGCGGTCTTTGAGGCACTGGGTCCTGCCCAATGCCCCAAGAGAGCATGGGGAAGACCCTTCCTGGCGGGACTGTCATGAGATACTCTGAGCCAGCAGACTCCGCTGTCTGACCCACAAAAATCCACGCAATTTGGGGAGGTGGTGAAGTAGTATTATTTTAAGTCACTACATTTTGAGGTGACTTATTATACACTAGTAAGTCACTACTCGTGGTGAAAAAGTAGGTAACGAGTAACCTGCCAGGTCTCAGTTTCCTCACCTAGAGTGAAGGTACCAACAGAACCTCTTTCATAGGGTGGAAGGTGCTGAGTACCTGAAGCTAGGTACTCAGATGAGTAGATGATATTGCTCTTGCTTATTTTTTAATTTCTGCTTATAATTATTAAATCATTTAATGGGAGCAGACTTGCATCTCTTCTATTGCACAAGAACAAGGACCACGCTGGCGTGAACCTTTCTACCTACCAGCCACTCTGCCACTAGAGGAGTCATGGTAACAAGCAGACTTATTTGCTACTTTGGGGTAATCTCTGGAGAGTAATTCTGCACATTTAAATGTTAAAATACGTTTCTACGACGCGTCAATTTGACCTCCATTAGTGTTGGCTAAGGGCTAAAGTCATCACACTTTGGAAGGCTTTGGGCTTATAGATTATAAAATTCCCTCCTGTGCATAATATTTTCTCCAGGTAAGGATAAAGGACATAATTGGGATTTAAAAGTAAAGGGAAAAGCCTTTAGTTTTTGTTAAAAGGTTTAAATTTTAGTCCATATTTTGAAAATCGATAAAAGCTTGGTGCCTTTTGCATAGTGAGCTGCAAATTGGGAGCCAGAGAGACACAGCAAGAAGCTATGGGGTTTGCTCCTACAGAACATGAAGGCGCATTACACAACTCTGAAAACGCAGGGAACTACTGATAGAGTCTGAGAAAGTTGCAGAATCATCTACATCGAAAACATACGCTTTTCCTTCCTGAAGTTGTTTTCACTAAAAAAATACTTGTAATTCTTGACACAACATTGCTTTATGTTATCAATTAAATAGCTGAAAGGTGTCTCTATCAATTCCTATCTGGTGTAAGGGAAGTCTTTTTTATTATTCACAAGTCCCTATGAAAATATAAATAAAATATAAGTCCACTGAAAAAACATTAGATATTTTTCTAGGAAATAAACCTAAGGAGACAGGTTACACCATTTGTAAGGCTGGTAACAGTGAACTAACTCATCCTTCATAGAAAAATGGCCTCAAGGGTGAGCACGTGGGTATGGAGAAGACGCTCTGATGGAATTCTTGGTCCCTGGCTTTAGATGCATCGTTATTATAAATGGTACAATTTATCCTGGTGCATACAAAACACAGTTCTATAGTGTCGTTAGCACAAGGGAACCACTTTTGGTAGCCAGCTGGAAAAGCCGATATAGCGGGGAGCCTTTCATTAGAAAGCTGTCGATTTTCTGCAGAAAGCAGGGTGGAGTAAGGAGAATGTTAATGCCCCAGGGCATGGGAGACGTGTTGGAGCATGTGCGAGGCTCGAGGCTCGCACTGAGTTACTGGGCTGCCCCCACTGTGGCCTTTCTTATTTATGGAAGAGATAAGCTGATGGGGGGGGGTGGAGGGGTGGGCGGGCTAGTGGAGTGAGAGCTACTGACTGTCAGAAGCAAATAAGGTCTCTGCCATGCAGACAGGACGTGGTGAGGAGTCAGAACGCGGGTTCCAGAGCTGTCTCCGAAAACACACGTGCCTGCGAGCAAGCAGCTCCTCCCCGCAGCCTGAGCCTCACATGTGGCGGTGGGGGTGATCCGTCCACACACGGCAGAAACTGCTGCTCACAGCCACGGACGCCTGAGTGCAAGGACATCCACAGCAAGCACCCGCAGGGCCCCCCAGAGCAGGAGCGGAAGAAAGGGGACCTTTCCGTGCCCCTGCTTCCGAGCCAAACAGTGAGGGCGGGACCGGACTCCTGGCCCCGAGGGGTGATGAGGGCAGAGGCCCAGCTTCCAGCACAGGGGTGAAGGGAGACTCGCTCGAGGCCGTGTGTGAGGTCCACGAGGGCAGAGACTGAGGCTGGAAGCCCGGGCACCGAGTCGGGAAGCTCAGGCTGCGGCCCATGGAGCCCTCCGGGGCCAGGAACTGGAGACCTGCGAGCCGAGGACCCCTGGCCAGGCCTTCAGCTCCCACCCGCGCTGCCCCCTCTCAGTACACAGCTCCTCCTTCCCCAGGGGACACAGCACCGGCCCACTCAGCCTGCCGGGGCCAGGGCTTGTGGCCAGGCACCCCTGGTGCTGAGGAAGGCAAGCCACAGGCGGGCGGCTCACCCGGCACACTCGGGTTGGCAGAGACCAAGCCTGGTAGTGAGCCTGGCCGAGGGTGCAGGCTGACTCGAGACGTAGGCCTGGGGGGCTGGGGTCTCCTGGCCTCGGGGGAGCAGTGCGAGCAGGACGGGACGTCGGTCAGGCGCGCTGCTGTAGTTCAGGCACTCAGGGCCTCCTGGGCAGTGCGGCCAGGGAGCCAGGCTGGGGCGGCAGGGCCATGCCCGGCCCCAGGGAGCCTCCACAGGGTTGAGCGTGGAGTCAGACATTCACGCCAAGGCCCTGCGCTGCCAGTGTGTCCACGCAGCCCACGCCCGTGAGCGCCTGCGTGGCGCTCGGCTGCGCTTCCGGAGCACGGTGACGGTCAGGCCGCACTGACCGCTCGTAGCCAGAGGCCGCATTTGCTCACAGAAAAGAGAGCAACCACGAGACACGGTGGACTGTCTTGGACTCGAGAGTCCAGACCCAAGGTCTAAAGCACAGCGACGCCACTCTCCCGAAAAGACGGCTTCGTCTCTGCAGCCGCTGTCCTGAAGCCACTGGGGGCTGCTCTGGAGAGCCGCAGCCTCGGGGTCGACCGCTGTGTTCTCAGGAAAGCAGGTGGCCTGCTGGCGTCTCCTTGTCACCTACGGAAGCTGCTTTTACACTTCTGGTGACTCTGGCTTATGGAAAGACCTTCCACAGCAAGGCTACGTTTTACTTAATAAGCATCGTTCATTGCGTGATTGAAATAATAATATACAATTTCCCCTGCTTGTTTGGAGAATATTAAAAACAAGCCTAATACCTGTTATTACTTCCGTTGGCAGGAACGAGCTGCTGTGAGTTGCGAGAGGGTGTGCAGATGAGTAAAATGCCGGCGAGCGGGCCACGCACTCTGAAGCCATAAAAACTGCTAATGGGGTTAGCGACTGCAATATCTAGAAATGCACCCTAGCGACACACACATGTACAATGGCTAGAAGTGGGGCCTCCCTGGGGGCGCGGAAGGTCAGAGAGCAGCAGCCGCTGCAGCCTGCAGTCGGCCCCCGCCCAGGGAGGGGCCCCAGGCTGCAGTAGACCGCTCCATCGCCCCGCCGCTCCCCTCAGCAGCGCCTCTGTCCATCGGCCAGTTCTGCCCCCCACTCTGTCCCTGGGGAATCCTCTCAGCTCTTGTACCTCTGGCCTGGACCCCAGTTCTGTACGCATAAACAAATCTTTAGGAAAATGGGCTAGAAGGCGCTGCGACGTGTGTATCACAGTGAGGACCTGAGAACACGACCGAGATCCAGCAACGGCGCTGGACGCTGCGTCCGAGCACCCGCCCTCCCCTCCGAGGTGGTGAGAACGCCCAGGCCGCGTGCCGGGGTGGCGCGTCCCACCGCTCGCCACAGGCCCTGGCTGGGCGGCCTGCTGGAGACGCCACCGACGGGGACTCTGTCCAGAGGTCCTCGAGGATACTGCCTGGTGGGAGAGGCGTCATCTAGCCCTGGCCGCCGGCCCAGCGGCCGACTTGGGGCTGGGGGCCACTTGCCAAGGGGCAGAGGGGGCCGAGCAGTTCGTGTTCCTGAGGACTCAGGAACAGTCCATGCCCCCTCCTCCCGGGGAAGAGTGGGCCAGGGCTGGGAGCTGTCAGGTGCGCTGGGACCAAGGCCAGGGGTGGCGGAGGCGCTCAGCCTGTGGCTGAGCCACGCGTCAGGGCAGTCGGAGGGTCGAGGAGTTTCAACCGCACAACGGTATACACACGCACGCACGTGTCCACACGTGTGCAGGCATGCACACTTGCACGCACGCGTGGACACCCACATGCACACGTGTGCACACACATGCAGGCGTGTGGAGGTGTGAGGGCATGGGCAAGCCAGACAAGCCCGTGCAGCAAGTATCTTTGGCTACTTGGTGGTGAGCTCTCTTTTAAAAATTTTGTTACAGTTTCCACTTCTTCCTTAGATGGCTGTAAAATGCCCGCCCACGACAGAGCCCTCCCATCTCCATGAACAGCTTTCACAAATAAGAGACACGGAGAAACCTGGGCTGGGTTCTGAATAAGAAGGTCCCCCAAGGAGCAACAGGAGCGGCCAGTTCATTCAGGATAACCATTTCTAACATCCCAGTAACCCCGACAGGCAACGTGAGGCGCACCCATCACCTTGCAGAGATCAGGAAAGCAGCCGCCCTGTCTCAGGCAGGGCGACCTCTGCACACAGCCTCTCACTGTCCTGCTGTGTAACCCCCCCAGTACTTCCAAAAGAGCCCGACCCTGATGCGACATCTCTGCCAGGACAGCGGTCACCGCAACCACACTCACGGCGGCAGCACCCGAGGGTGGCCACTGCGGCAGAGTCCACGGCGGGCAGACGCTGTCCACACCCCGGCTCAGCAGCCAGGCAGCCCAGAGGTCCGGAAGATGCAGAGTGGCCTGGCAGCGCTCGGGGCGCCGGGAGAGCTGAACGGACGTGATCAAACCCAACCATTGCCGGCAGCGGTGCAGTGTGGCGCCTGAGGTGTGGCCAGGGCGGAGAGCCAGCGGCCACGCCGGGCTCCTCTCTGAGAAGGCGGCCGGCCCCCGGACAGTGGCTGAGATCAGTGACCCTGAAGCCACACGGTGCCTGGCGCCTCCTGCCCTCCCCTACTGCCTCAAGGAAACACTTACTAGAAGGAGTTGTGGCCAGTGAAACATTTGTTTTTCATCGATGGTTGCGTTTTGTGTTTTTATAGTAGAAAAATGCATTGTTATTTCAAAACAGCACCCAGAATACAAGACTAAGCAAAGAACCAGCACTTGGCTTACACCCCTATGGCCGAACACACGCAGTAGGTCTTGATTCATACTGTATTCATCTCGTTGTTTAACCCTCTAAAATGTATTTGGTCATCAACTGTGAGATAAGCAAGTTACTGCTGTAAGAGGCGTGAATGAGGCAGGAAAGTGAAGGACTGTTTCTGGAGAAGCTGAGGAGGTGAGCGTCAGTTACTTTACAGCGTCCACGCGTGGGAAGCTTGCGTGTTACGGCCCCCGGGGCCCCGGCTGCCTTTGACGAGGAGACTGAAAGCAAGGGGCAGGAGGGTGAAAACAGGGCATGGCGTGTGTCTGGCTGCTTTTAAAACGAGCATTCCAAGGGCATGATATACCGTTTTTAAATCTAAAGTGACCAAGTACATAGAAGAGTCCATTTTGCCTTTCACTTTCTAGAGTGACTAGAAGCAACTTTCCCACAATGAGTCATTCTGACAGCCGGCACCGCATCTCCACGGGCCTGCAGGGGAGAGGGGCGGGGGGAGGGGCGGGGAGGGGGCTCTAGCACCTCCTGGTGGAGGCTGCGGGGTGCTGCAGTAATTGACCTGGGCAGCCTGCTCCTCATCTGCGGTCACTCCGTGGAGGAGTTACACAAGAAGAGTCAGGGTCTGGGTAAAAAAAAAAAAAAAAAAAAAAAAAGCTTCTAGATAAACTCCTGGGGCTGTCCGAGAGAGGTAGCTTTGGCGGAGGTGGAGACACAGCGAGCTGCACAGACACCGCTGGAAAGAGCGGGGTGTCGGTCCTTCGGGTTATACTAGAACAGCACACACGACTGGCCAGTGGCAGCACAGCAAGGACGCCGTACCTTTGGAGAACTTCCACACGATCGTGGGCACGGGGTAGCCCTCCGCGGAGCAGTTGAGGGTGACAGCTTTGCCGTAGATCCCGTCCTGGTCTCGGGGCTGAACCACAAACTTGGGGGGAACTGGAAAGAGAAAACATCACCTGTCACACACACAAGACCACAATTTGTGGAAGGTATAATCTGACGAGATCACAAATGTGGACAAAAATCCAAAGGCCAAGTGTGTTTGCTGTTTATGCGGAAAGAAAGCGCAGCGGCCCGCGGCCGCCTGGGGCTCTCTCTCCGTACTCACACCGACGAGCCTGCGTGGCTGGGGGCTACTTTCCACCGGGGACAGCCAGACTCTCCGATAGCAGAAGTCTGCTGATGCCAAGGACACACGCCCTTCGTTTCTTACTAGTGTGTGGGAGAGCGTCAGGAATCATCTGTGGGTGTGACTTGCTCAAATCATTTCACTCTTGTTTTTCCTTCAGCTGGAAGCGAAGGGGGAATCGAGTGGCCAATAGAGAGTCAATCAATCTATCGATAAAGAGCACAACATGGCCTTGCCCTCCCCACCGCGCCCTCCAGTTCTCATGAGCACAGAGGCCACTGCTCATGATGTGAACGCCATTGTGGCCAGAGGGACGTTGCGGGCCTGTCACAAGGGGGAGCCGTGTGGCCTTGTGGCATGCCTATTAAAAAGGAGACCAGGACCTTCCCTGTGGCTCAAGGGGTTAAGTTGCAGCACAGTGAAGCAATCTGCAGCCAGGGCAGCAGGAGTCCCATCCCCAGCCAGGGAGGGACCCCCACGGTGTGGCAGACCTCTCCTGTCTCCCCGCTGCCCCCTCAGCAGTGAGTGTCAGTGGGTCTGCCCATTCTGCTCCCCACTCTGTCTATGGGGAGTCTTCCAGCCCCCAGCCCCTGCACCCCAGTTCTGGCATGCATAAATAATCTTTTTTTAAAAGGAAATCAGATATCTGCTTACTTAGTTTTATGAGGTGCTGGAAAAAATCCATCCCTATTGAAAACAAACACATACAAATCCACTCTTCTTAAACACACCCACAAGCAGGAAACGGTTCAAGCTATTGTGATTCTAAGAGTCTTCTCTTAAAAAAAAAAAAAAAAAAGACATTCTCTAGGTAAGGAGGCATCTGACAGTGTTAGAATCCTGGACTCTTTTCTGGAAGATCACTGATCAAATGTAGGATGGATCTTCAATGATACAGTCGCAGAATTATAATGGAGAGGATGGATTAATCCACCATCTATTAGGTCCTTAGCAATATGGCTGCTTTCTCCCTTTTCCATAGTGCTTGGTACATTCATCTTGTCTATGTTGCAATTTGCAAAATTGTTTCTTTTCAGAAACATAAGTGAGCCTATGTGCTACAGATGGATAAGGCTGCCACATGAAGTCAGATGGCAGGTGAGTGGGGGGCTCAGAACAAAGATCACTTTGGCTATAAAGAAGCCAGGGAAAAGAAAATGAGTGATACAAACGCCTAAGCAGCAGCTGGCGACAGCACTCTCTGCTCTGCTCCAGGAAAAGGCAGGGCGTGCTGGCTAGGAGGCAGGTCGAGGGCAAGCATCTGGGTTTCAGCTGCAACTCTCTTCCCCAGAAGGATGATCTTGTGCGGATTATACAATGCCTCTCGGCTTCAATTTCCTTATCTAAAAGTTGGGGTAATTATAGTACTCATTTTATAGGGCTGGTATGAGGAGTAAATGAGTTCAGATTATAAATGTTCCCAGTGCAGTGTCTGGAACATATTAGGAACCGTAGCTGTGTCTGTTAATTTAGTAAGTGCAGGTATGTCCAGATTTAACATATCCTCCACCAAACAGTTCCCGACTCACAAATTAATTTCTCTGAAGTCACTGGGCCCTGTGCCTAACTATTAAACAATTCTATGCCATTTAGATCATATTCTGAGACAGTCAATAAGATGTGGGTCTATTTAAAACAAGGTAGTGAGACATCTCATAGTGAGAAAATTATTTCTAGGAAAAATGCTAGAGATTATCGAGAGTAAAGATTACTAGGAAGAACAATCCACGTTTAAGACATCACGTCAGAAATCACTCTGCCTAGTGCAGGGATCTGCAGTCGTCCATGTTCTCTGCTCTATTTGGCTCACACTCTGCTAAGGGCAAGAAGCTCCTTGTCAAATCAGTGGGTAACTAATCTCTCGTATTTCCTCTGGCAGAATGTCTCATTATAACTGATCCATGACCCCTCCCCTCAATTTGGTTCTAATCCAAAGGAATGTTACTTAAAAACGGATCAAGAAGGTTTATATGGGAAATAACCATTGACATATTGTACATAAAAGGTAATTACAGATGGAAATGGCCCATGAAGTCAAGAATTATCTCTCCTAACCCCCTTTTATGCCTCCTTATTTCATGTAGTAATGATTCTTCCTTGAAACGTGCCCCATATCTCAAATTGTCTTCCTCTTCGTTGCCACGCACTAGTCATAGTGGCGCAAGGGTGTGGGGTAGTGGCGCGTCTTCCCGCCTCTGGTTCAGCACCTCTGCGTCGGACAGTTCCGCGCCCTCCTGCACCAAGGGTCTGTGCTCTCCCTGGGCCTTGTGGAGAGCCGGCCAAGAAGCTGACTCGGGAATATGCCCCTGCACTGGAGAATGAAGACAGGGAATTTACCCCCACTTGGGTCCCTCTTGAAGGGGCCAACTATTGGCTCCCACATTTCTGTGACTTTAGGGGCATCAGATTCACTTGCAGAACTGATTAAAAATCAATTCTGGCTCAGCTGCCTTAAGGGGGAGTCTGGACTCCGCCTTTCTCTCTCCCAGAGCACAGCTCATTGGCCTTCCTGCCATCACTCCAGCTGTCTGCCTGAGCTTCACTGCCTCTCTTTGGGACTGCTGAGGGCACATCAGTTCACATCACTCACGATTTAGAGTAGGTCGGTGCTCAGCTCTTCAGATGTCTGTCCCTGCCCCACACCTGCCACCGAAGCAGCCACCAGCCCCTTCTGTAGTCCACTGGGCCCCCCTTTGATCTCACCCCTCCAGGTAACCTTAATGGAATACTACTCAGCTGCATAAAATAAAAGAGACGACATGAGTGACATGACACTTGTGTCACAACCTGAGTGAGTGACATGAGATGACACTGGTGACATGAGAGGCTCTGGGAGGGAAGCTGCTCAGCGAAGTAGGGCTGAGGGAGGACGACGGGCGCGGGACGGGTCAGAGCGTGTGTGCAACATGGAGAAGCAAGGCGAGGGGCTGACGGAGCTAAACCGAGCGATGCGGCCAGAGCGGCGACCGCGGGGCTCGAGCACTTCCTTCTCGCGGCCCACGAAGGCCCCTGCATGACCCGCTCATCTGGGATCTGGCCGCCGTCTCTTCCCTCTGCTCTGCAGTGAGCGGTCTGGGGTGGGCGTGGGCAGGTCTGGCTGCTCGGACCACCCCGGCGGCCCAGCTCTGAGGCGGGGGGTATGGGGGAGGGCGCAGGGAGACAGCAGGGTCAGGCCTAAGTCAGGGACACCTGGGCTCTCTGCCTGTGTCACCTGTCACCTCGAGGCCTCGAGTTAAGGTCCCCCTCCGCCCCACACAGCTCACGCGTGCTCCTGGCAGCAGCGGACGGGCGGAGGCGGGAGACATCTCTGTCGAGTTGCTCGTCCCTCACTGAGCCCCCGACGCGCTGGGCGACGCGGTCCTCCCTCCCTCCCCAGCAACGAGGCCAGGGGCCAGCTAATGACTGTTGCCCACTTAACGCTCTCTGCAAATGCAAGAGGTAAATATTATCTGTTCTATTTTACAGACAAAAAGGCGGCGCTGGAGCGGCTCCACCGGGTCCTGAGGCCGGGTAGAGAGGGAGGAGGCAGGTGTTCTTCCTGTAAGCTGCAACCATGCTGTATCTTTACTCTTTGGAAAGCTGCCTACACATCAAGCCGACGGAGTGCATTCCTTCCCCAAAGTCCTGTCAGAACGCAGTGGACGACGCTGACCTCTCCCTCATCAGCGTCCACTCTGCTCCTGTAATTACTGGTTTGCCACGCGGAGACTGCTCCGCCACCCCTGCCCTGACAGGGAGGTTTCGAGGTCCCTGGATGTCTCATTCCACTTCTACTTTTCCCACGTTGCAACTCAGGTCAAATACTTTAAAGCATCTAGTTTGAGTGAAAGACCGAAATAACCCGTATAATTATGGTCTGATGCTGTTTGCCATTTTTACATAGCTTTTGTTTCTCCAAATTCATCTTTGTATTTTTTCATGAACCAAATGACAGGTTATGACTTGAGTTTAATTGGTAAGTTGACAGCTTGTGACATGGAATGTTATTTTAAACAGTAGTAATAGATAATAGGACTCTTCATTTCGCTACCAGATAAATTTAACTTATTTAGAAAGTGATCTGGCAGAAGAAAAAATATGACCTCCGAAAATGATGAGATACGTAATGTTAGCAAAAGAGAGGAACCGAGGAAACCACATCGCTACATACAGCTAACCCACCGTTCTACGACTCCGGGAAAGCTTATGTGTGCCTTTAACAACATGAGTTTAAGAGTTCAATATAAATGATGCGATGGCTAAAGAGACCAGACGATTCATGGACTTTGGTTCTTAAAAATCACTGGGTTAGGCCCTCCCTGGTGGCGCAGCGGGTTAAAGCACAGCACTGAGAAGCTTAAGCCACTTCCACATGAGTGTGATCCCCGCCTGCCCCGAAGGTGACCCCATGGTGCGGGGTCTTCTGACCCGCCCGCTGCTCCCCTCAGCAGTGTACTTCGTCGGTCTGCCTGTTCTGCTCCCCACTCTGTCTCTGGTGAAGCCTCTCACCGCCCCTGAGCCTCTGGCCTGTACCCCAGTTCTGTATGAACAAATAAATCTTTAAAAAAAAAATCACTGGCTTATGTATGGGAGCCCTGTTTTGTGAATGAAATTCCCTGGACTCCATGTCTTCATTCACTCATATATATATATATATATATATTATATATATAGGTATGTGTGTATGTATGTATGTGTGTGTATGTGTATATATATATATATATTTAGATATTTATTTATGAAGACAGAACTGGGGTACAGGCCGAGGTCCAGGGGCAGTGAGAGGCTTCACCAGAGACAGAGTGGGGAGCAGAACAGGCAGATGGACTGAAACACACTGCTGAGGGCAGCAGTGGGCAGGTCAGGAGGGGTCTGCTGGGCACTGGGGGGTCACCTCCAGGGCCGGGGATCGAACTCACCCTGAAGCAGCTGCGGCCAGCTTGTAGCTTTAACCCAATGTGCCACCGGAGGGCCCATACATATATTTTTAAGTTGCTAATAAATTGAGCTTCATAGTTCATGTAAATAAAGTCATGACGTGGCATGAGAGTCTGTGGTCAGTTCTCACAGCCGTGCGTGCGTGTGTTTCGGGGGGAGAGGATTCTGGGCACGCCAGCCCTCTCTGCGCGCCAAGCACACCCTACCCGTGAGCACCAGCGGCTCTGGCCGCAGCTCCGGGACCCCCACGCCCCTACCTCTCACGATGAGCTGGCTCTGGTGCTCCACGGCCGCAGCCTCGTTCCGGGCTATGCAGGTGTAGTTTCCGTTGTGCATCAGGGACAGGTTGGAGATCCTTAAGGAGCTCGTGAAGTCGATGTTGTCGATGGTCACCCCGAGGCTCGCCGGGATCGGCCGGCTGTCCTTCTGCCAGGTGATTGTGATGGGCAAGTCCCCCGAGACCACGACGCAGGGGATGAAGACGCGCTGCCCGATGGAGAATCTCGGGAACTCAAAAGGCTGGATAAAAGGCGGAACTGGAAGGGAAACGAAGAACGCGTGAAACAGCGGGCGATGGCGACCTGCACTTTCTACGGCTGCTCTTCCTCGGGCCTTGGCCTGCCCCGAGGAAGCCCCCCTGTCCCGGCACATCAACGGGAGTGGGGGAGACCCCGTCATGAGCTCGTGTGGCCCGAGCCTGGTCAGCATGCCTGGGCAGGCATGGCCAGACGGCTACTTCGCAGCTACGACTAGTGTGGCTTACTTCGACAGCCTTTCAGTCAACAATCATTTCTGAGCGAAAATAGGTCAGTCCCTGCTGTGTGAGCTGCTGTGACATGGACTTGGGTTTTTGTCAGAACCTGTTAAAAGTGCTGTGCACAGAGGACAGCTCCTTCCTGCCCCACGCCCACCCCTGGCCCTCCCACGCTGGCCACAGGCATATTCGACTACCCGAAGCAGCAGATTCCAGGCTCGTTGGTGAACACGTCCATGCCCGATGCCCAACTGATAGCACACGCCAGTTAAAAAGATGGACTTCGTATTAGGACAACTGCATCTTTACCTGCTCTTCCCATTTTGTGTATCCTAAGTACTGACCTTGAGTTACGAACTGGCCCGTGGCCAGTTTCTGAGTTGCCAAGCTGTGTTATTAATGTAGAACGAGGTCACAGCCTGCGGCCAGGTCAGCTGTGAACACAGCCAAGTTCAGCCTGGAGCTATTTCCTGATTTAATCTCCCTGATAATTTCCTATTTATTCTGCTTGCCCGAGACCCACTTATGCTTGGTAATTTCTGCGGGGGCCTTCCAGGGTCCCACACGATACGGTGGCGCCGGAGAGGCCAGGTCTAGCTCTTGTCTCTGTCACCAGCTATGGGGTCTCTTCCTGTCGGCCTTGTGAGGGAGGTCACCTCCTGGCTGAGGACCGGAGGCTCCGAGGTGGCGCGTGGCCTGTGGTCACGGACGAGTTCACTTCTGAGGGAGGGCTCAGTTTGTCTTTTTTTTGAAGGGACATGGGAATAAGAAGGCTCCAGACTAAGGTCTTCAGCTCACAGCCAAGTATCAACCAACAGTTCCATGCGGGGACTTTACAGAAGGAATTCATGAAGTGGCAGGAATTCCGCAGAGTGTCCCTTAGAAGAGCCGAAGGTTCATTTCAAGGACCAGCTCGTTTGAGCCGTGGGCGGCCCAGCGAGAAACATCTGCGTGGAAACTGCTCGCTCACTCGACCAAGAAGCCTCGCTGAGCTCCGAGCGCAGCAGCGGGAGGGTCACGCACACAGGCCCGTCACGGCCCGGGGTGCGCACATCACCGGCGTGGCCGAGGCCACGCTGCTGGGAACGCTACGGTTACTGTGTGCGGGGGTCAGCACTGTGAGCGGGGCCAGGTAGGGTCCGGCAGTGCTCCACTCAGATCTTTATTTTTGCTTTTTATAAACATTTTTTCTTTTTTTTTTTAAATTTATTTATATGCATACAGAACTGGGGTACAAGCCAGAGGTGCAGGGGCGGTGAGAGGACTCCCCAAAGACAGAGCTGGGGGCGTGGAGGGCAGAACAGGCAGAGAGATGAAGTACGCTGCTGAGGGGAGCAGCGGGCGGGCCCAGGGAGGTCTGCCGCGCCCTGGGGCCCTCCCTGGCCAGGGATCGAATGGTGGCTGCGTCCAGCTTCGCGGTGCTGAGACTTAATTCCTTGCACCATCAGGGAGAAACAAGCAAACAAACAAAGGTACAGACAAGAACATTCAGTGTCGAGACGCCCATGGGGGCCTCGCTGCAGTGCTCTGGGCCTGTAATGAGTTGACCTGGCACGCAAACACGTGATCTCGGGGTGAGGCTTAGCTGGCGCTCGTAGAAACCCTGGGGGTGTCACAGCTGACCTGGGGGCAAGGCCAAGCTGCATGATGGTCGCTAGATAAATAGCAACACTTGGTAACTGATACTTAAATTTACGGATATTATGTTAATCAACGAAAATCAGCTAAAGGCTCCACGTGTCCTCGTTGGCTCCTGTGTTCTGGTATTTGCTCTCTGTGGAGGTACCGGGGGTTTCATTCTTGTTACCATTGTCTCGCTGGCTTCTTTCCTCAGGACCCTGGTGCGAGTTGGGCGTAGGAGGTACCGCTGAGGCCTAAGCTCCCGATGCGGCCTGGGCGTCGGGCTGGGCCTCGCCGCCGCACAGAGCCAAGTGCTTCAGCTGCCGGAGCTTCCCAGCAGCCACTCCCAGGAATGAGAAGCGTCAGCACCTCTGCCCGTATGGGTGCACATAAACACCGGCAGCGTCTTGTATGACTTCATAAGAAGCCATAAATCTGACAAGGAGTTACGAGGGAGGTTCCTCGTTCATTTGAAAGATTCACATGGCAAATGATGAACTAGATCGAGGTCTTTAAGCAGCAGCTGGCAACTCAGGCGGAGGCCGCGCCCGCCGGCACAGCGGCCCATGCCGCAGACGTTGATTTGCTAATCTGCACTTTCAGCCAAAAATGCCCTCCCAGGCCCCATGTCTGCTCGGTTGTTTGCTGGTCTCTCCATCCGGACACCCGGAATGAGCTCGACTCTCAGACCAGAATATCATGCCCCTCATCCGGGCCTCACCTTCACCGCCCTGCGCTGTGGCGCCAGGGAGTCTCTCCGCGGGGAGGATGATAAACGCGATCCCGCCTGCGTGTTCTCTTCACCTCCAGCCACGCTCAGCTGGTGGTGAGGCTCCGTCTACCTCGTGACTCGACATCTCCTGGGACAGCTCTGTTTTGCTTAAGATTGAGTTATTTCTGCACACAGAGCTGGGCCACAGGCCAGAGGTGCAGGGTGAGAGGAGCCACCAGAGACAGGGTGGGGAGCAGAACAGGCAGACGGATGAAGTCCACTGCTGAGGGGGGCGGCAGGGAGATGGGTGGGGAGGTCTGCCGTGCCTTGGGGGTCACCTCCGGGGCTGGGCCCGAGCGGAAGTGCTGCGACCCGCTTGCAGCGCTGCTCTTCAGCCCGCTGCGCCACCAGGGAGCGCCTGGGCTCTGCGATCCTTGTGTGAACCTCAGCCAGATTTGCTTATTCAAAACATAGTTGCTCCCCACCCCCGGTCCCACTCTTCCTCCTCCACCTGGTCCTGAGCTGGCCAGATGCCCCCTCCGCTTCTTGAAGACTGACACAAGCTCTGCAACCTCTATCGACTGACGTATTCCGGACAGAGACGGGAGTGCTCTGAAACCTCAGAATGTCCACACTAACTTATGCGACGACCTCCCTTCTCTGTAATATCAGAATATTCCAAGCAACCATCAGCTTGCAACTGGGTTGCCTCAGCCTCATAAGGCGCTGCCTGGCTCAGGAGAGCAAACGCTGCCCAAGACAGGAGATTCCTCTAGAAAGCAAAAAGTAATATTACAACTGCTGATTAATAAAAGCAATTATAACAAAGTCAATATTGTAAGACGAGGCAGTACTAGAACATGCTAAAAAATAACTAAAGTTCTTTTACTGCCTGGACCAGAACCCAAATCCTATCACTCTACTCTCTTACTTCAGCTTTTATTGCTCAGTCTCTAAATGAGGAAACTTACTGTCTCCCTTAGTGATTCATCTGCCAGAAAGCTCCTCCACCCTAGTCCTCCACTTCACCCTCTAGGAGTCTCAGTGAGAATGAAGATCATTAAGCAGCGTTTAAGGCTGAAAGGGGCTTTATTCTAGCCAGTCATCACTGTGGTAAATATGACAACGTCAGCCTTCAATTTTATGAATGTATGTACCTATCCTAACTTTAATGGATTTTAAGAATAATGAATGTTGTATCTCAGCTAAAGGGCAATACGACCCCAAACTGTTCTTAGAAAGAAAACGATTGTGATCTCTCAGCCCAGGTCACGTGCTGATGCCATCCGCCGCTTGCTCCTAGTGCATAAAACAAACTCTGCTAAGAGCGGAGCAGGAAGACTTGCGCCCAACTCCCACTCCCGTGTCTTCCTCGCTCCCCTTCCCCCTTTTTCTCCTTTTCCCCCCTTTTTAGGAATCTCCGCCTGCAGATGCCGCTCCCACCTTGAGACCCTGCCTGTTCTGCCCCCCAACAACCCGTGATGGGGATGGTCCCCAGCAGAAGACCATATGTTGAAATCAGTGTTTCCTTTTTTGCCCCACAGCATGCCCACGGCCAGTTCTAGTGCTTCCGCCCCTCGGCCCCTCGGCCCGCGCCCCTCGGCCCCTCGCCTGTGCCACCTGCCCCAGGCGTCTGCTGCCCCTGCTGTGCCTGGCGGGCCTTTGTCCACGATTCTCCCGCTGGCCCCTGGGGCATTCACCATCATACCATGATTTGATCTCATTAACGGCAGATACACAGATATTAGCTGAAGAAACTGAATAAATCCTAGGAATCAATGATGTAAAGAAATTCTTTGAGTTAAAAATTGCTTTGATGACAAAGGTCTAGCCCAATTACGCTGCTGTCATCTGCTGTGATAGTTCTTATTATTTGAAATATTGGGCTAATGTCACTAGAGACGAGGGAGTGATTTACTGAGATGTTTCAGGAAGGTGCGTCTGGGGTGCGCGACACGGTCTGACATCTGTGTGGGTGGCGGGGGGGGGCGTGTGTGGGGACGCACGGCTCAGCTCCCGTTCAAGAAGGGAAGTGCACCTCAAGTCCTGAAGTGTTGTGAGGCGCGTCCCTTGGCGTGGCCTCTGGCCAGTGGCTGGCTGGGGGCGGTGCTGGCCCACCCAGGACCCGGTCTGAAGGCCGCTCTTGCCCCAGTGCTCCCCAGGGGCCACGTGGGGCAGCCGTGTGCCCCATCCAGGCCTGTCTTCCCGGGCCCAGTTCCTGGCCTGCGACCCCCTGACCCACCCCCGTAGGCTGGGGACTTCTGCCAAGAGAACCAGCCTACAGCGGCTCACTTCACGCGTGCAACTGAGACACCCAACAGCAAACGCAGGTCCATCTGTGACACCTGGTGGCTTTCACTCACTTGGGTGTGAGAGGGGAGTTCTTATGCTTGTGGGATTCGCTTTTAAAAGCTTCGTCTGCATATGACGAACCGAGGAGGAACCAGTCA